TGGATAACCCACTACTATTGTGGACTGCTGGACTGTGTTGGATTGTTTTGCTGAATTCACGCACCTATGGTATTTAGATGCCAATGGAATACCCATTTTTCACAGGACTAAACAAAAAAAGGGGATACAAAGAAAGGACTGTTTCATATCTGTGTATGCAGAATAGTTAGGATAGATATGCAGCTACTTTCTCTTAATTCAGTGAGAAGAAAGATGTGTACTAATAGTCTTTGGACAGGATATCCTGTCTGCATCTTGTACTATGGATGACTACTAAAAAGATAACAATGTACAATGTATTAATTATTGAAACTATCCTATTAAACAGTTTTGAAACTGTCTCATTGATATTTGTCCCCCCCCCAAAAAAAAAAAGAAAAATGTTCTGCTCTTGGATCAGCTGGGTGGGTCTTGCCTCTAGCCTCTCTGCAGGGAGTTCTGCTGCAGGGTCCCATGCCTGGCCTTGGTTCTGGTCGAATGAGGATCTGGCGGGCCCCAGGCGGTCTCACACACAGAGCCTGGGCTGTGGGTTGAATGAGGACCCAGCAGGCCCAGGGTAGTCTCATTCACACACCAGGCCTGGCAGGCCCCTGGCGGGCTCTGGGCTGTCTCACTCACACGCTGTGCTTCCATTTTGGCTTCAGCTTTTTTTTGTATTTTAGGAAAGGGTCTACAGGATGTTCAGGGTCTCAGTACTAGATTGGACTCATAATGATCTGCCTGTTTACAGCCTCCCAAGAGCTGGGATTACAGGCATGCGCCACCAGACCCAGTCTCAATTCCTGTCTTAGAGTGCCCCCGGGGGTGGGCTGACTTGGCAGGCCTGGGGATCGAACCTCTGGTCCCTGAGCCTGCTTTCAGGTGCTTTAATCCACTGAGCTATTTGGCTGGATCCCAGCATTTTAAGAAGAAAATAATAGTGGTTTTTGTTGTTTTGTTTTAGTTATAATAAAATATTTTGTAGTTGAAGTAATTAGTGTGAGTTTTGAGTTTTTGAATCCTGAAGCTTTAAGACAAATAGACAGTCTTGAAGTGGACTCATTTTAAGACATCTTTAACTCTTAAAATCAGTTTTTGCATTTATTTTAGTGATGGAACAAGGTTAGAAAAAGAAGTTAAAATTAAATCCTCATCTCACACCATACCCCTAAATAAATGCTGGAGGAAATAAAAGATATAAGTGTAAGAATTGAAACCATAAAAATAAAATGGATTTTCTAAGCATCACATCAAATGGAGAAACCTTAAATTAAAGAACAAAACTAGAAAATTGACTATCTGAAATTAGAGATGATTTAAAAAAATAATCCGAGGAATGGATGATAAATGAGTAAAAATACATTTAACAAAGTACTGGTAATCTTAATGTATGAAGAGATCTTTAAGAAAACACAATAGAAAATGGTGCAAGTGGTCTGTTGTTGATGAGACTTTTGACTTTACTAATCATTGAAGTTACATATATTAACCCAGTAGTTGCCAGGGAAACAGGGAAGCTGACTGAATCCTAGAGACAAGGAAGGAGTATAGATTAGTGCCACATTGTTAACAGTGGGGGTAGGTTTATTATTTTGCTAGTTGTAAAATAGGAAAACTATATAAAAAGCAAAAATAAATACCATGTATTGTACCTCAATGAAGCTGTTGGAAATGAGAATGAGGAGCATTAATGTCAAAATAGGATAGTGGTCTTCTAGTAATGGTCTGTTTACTTTTCAGTCTCTGTAGAGAGTCGGGCGTGTTTCTGCACAACCTGTGCGGTGTGTCTTCCCCAGGTTGCGGGGAGCTGTGCCCAGCTGTCCTCTTATGAGCCAGCGTGTGTCATAGGCTGGCCTGTCTTGGAAGGGCCTCCAGGAAGGGCACCTTGGCAGCGGGGGTGGAAGAGCAAAGGCTCTGTCCTCCCTCCCAGAGCCAGCTGCTTCTGTCTCACCTGTGCACTTCTGGTAGCTCCTGAAACAGAAATCAGGAGTGGAGGACATCATAGAAGGCCACAGAGATGTCCTGAGCTTTAGCTGACAGAATATTTGGAAGCGTAGTGGCTGGAGAGGAAGGGAGCCTAATACAGTCAGGACACCAGGTAGTGGAGAGGGTAAAGTGGATTTGCTTAGAAATTGCCAAATTCAGGGCTGGCCAGATAGCTCAGTGGACTAAAGTGCCTGCTTAGGCAGAGTGCAGTGGCTGGGGTTTGATCCCCAGCATGTTGTGCCTGTTCTGTCTTGGGCACACTGAGATGGCGTTCAAGACTGGGCATGGTGGCATGCACCTGTAATCCCAGCTCTTGGGAAGCTGAAAACAGGAGAATCACTACGAGTCTGATCTACATAGTGAGACCCTGTAGGCCCTATAGACATGATGACTGAAGGAGGTAGACTTCCTGCAACAATCTACAGATACTAGATGTGATGCAGGTAATAGTATGATTAGATTTAATATGGGATGTTGCCACATGTGGGAGCAGAAATCAGATATTGGATTAGTTTGTTTTCTGTTACTATAACTGAATGCCTCAGGCTGGCTAGTTCATGAAGAGACGTTTCTTACAGTTCTTGAGGCTGGGAGACATTCTGATCAAAGAGCTACCCTTGTTGAGGGTTTCCTAGCTTGTGAGGACTCTGGTAGCACAGAATATCACATGATGAGGCAGAGCAAGCATGCAAGCTCACATCTCTCTTCCTCTTCTTAAAAATCCATGGATGCTGTTGTGGGCCCCAGCCTAGTGACTGACCCATTGCATCCTAATTACCTCCCACAGCTCCATCTCTTAGTACTCTCAGTAACAATTAAAGCTCAAACTATAGCAGGTACTAAGAGTAGCACAAAGCCTTCTGTCCTCTTCTGTCCCTATGCCAAAATCTAGACCTAGCAGGCTGTTCTCGTGGAGCAGAGCACTGGCTTCTGCCAGCCATGTCTGGCTTGTGTTTAGGATGTGACCCAGATTCCAAATCATGATTGAATGAGTGGAGATGGATTTGGAACACTGAATAAAGTGGCTGTAAGCCCTATGCTGTTAGCACCTGGTGCAGAGGGAGCGTGTCCAGTGGGGCACAAGAGGAGCCATAGGTCAGCAGGCTGCTCGAGTCAAGGACTGGTCCCTCTTCTGTCTGCTGGGGCTCTTTAGTCTACCTGTGGGGCATGCTTTTCTGTGGGGACATATCTATCTGTGTGTGGGGCACACTGTTCTGAAGGGGTACCTTCCTAGGTGGCAGTGTGTTCCTGAGCCTCTTTCTGAGTGACCAGCTTGTCTTCTGAAAGGATTCGGTTTTTTGTTTCTTTTGCAGAACCCAAACTGCAGAGGTCTGAGACCATTGGTGGCCGGCAGCCCTCAGGAGTGAAGGAAGACCTTAAGAGGTGAGCCCGTGCTCCCACCACCGGTGCTGTGCTCTGCCTGAAGCCATGTTCCTCCTCACTGGTGTGCTCCCTGCTGGGGCTCTGGAGGTTTTGAGTCATGTGTTTTATCTCATTTGTGTTGAGGGACAGCCCTGTGGTAAGGAGCAACCAACCCTGTGGTATAGGTGACACTGGCCCTAGTTTAAAGATGGAATTCCAGCAGGGGCCCAGGGAAGCATATTATTACAAGTAGGTTTCTAAAGTCCATTTTAAAAAGCTTGGACTAAACAGCAAGTGGCTGTCTTCTCTGTGTGTATGTGGGTGCACATATGCACCACACACACACACACACACACACACACACACACACGCATGCCCCTGCAAGCATGTTTTTAGACAGATGAAGAATGTAGAGCCCTCATAGTTCTAACTAATGGACTGGCTCCAGGATGTTGGTGACTTTCTGTCAGCCAGGCAGGGATCCTGAGAGCCAGCCACACTTCAGAAATAAGACCTGCTTCCTGTCCCTGAAAACTTGTAGAAAAACGGTTAAGTCAGATGCCTTAATCAACATCCTGATTCTGTATGTGTGTACCAACATTGTGATGCTGTGACCCATTAGTCATCTGGGAAAGTCACTGTGTCTAAGAGGGGTAGGAAGAGTGCTTCTCTAAGTGGGTGTTGCTGTGCAAAAGCACGGTGCCTGGCAAGCAGAGTGCTCAGTGACTGCTGACTGCCGTTGTCACCAGCTGGCTTCCTCAGCAGCCCAGGGGAAGCTGGTCTGTGTGCAGTTGGAGGACCCAAACAGGTAGCTTATGGCTCAGTGTGTGCCACAGTCAGGCTTTGCCCTCCCCCCCAATGAATCACTCATGCTGGATTAAGACCCACACTCTTCAGAATTTACCCTCCCTACTCCTAAGGGGCCCCTCTGAGAGTAACCTGCACTTTCCACCCACATCTCTTTTTGGATACTGTTAAACAATTTAAAAATGTTAAAGTAATATATGCTAATGAAAGATTCTGAAAATATAGAAAATGAAAGAAATCCCTGTAGGCTCATTGTCTCAGTACAACCACTGTTAATATTTTGGAGAGTCTCTTTCACATGCCTTCTTTCTCCCAGTTCTTGATTATTTTTTAAAGCCATACATGATTTTACATCTTGCTATTTTCACTTAGATTATATTTTCCATTAGTTACAACTGCTTTATAAATATTTTATTGCCAAATGTATTGTTTACTTGTTCTCATTTTAGATTCAACAGATAGGTAAGTCAAGAGTATATTCTCCATTGGTAGTGCATATACCATGGTGTGATTATGTGATATTTCATTTAGCTGGACCTTGATGGTTGCACATTTAGGTTTCTTGTGTTTTTAAAGTACATAGCTTTTAGGTAAATAGTGCCTAAGAGCGTCTTAGTACTAACAGTTTTCTCTCTGTAGGATTATTTTCCTAGGCAGAATGCCCAGAATAGGTCAAAGGATAGGAGCATACAAGTTAAGTGTTCAAAGCAAAGGACTACTGAAGCCTCTCACTCTCTTCAAGTGGTGCCAAGGGGAAGTTGGGGCTCCCTATCCAGCACCCTTGCTTTGAAGGAGGGGTTCACTTAGGAATTAGCCTGGCTCTGAGGCTTGCACTGGGCACATGGTTGCTTGATTCCTCACCTGGAAGCCTGCTCTCGTACGGTGCCCTGTGTCAAGTCACCCTCTCCTGTCTTGGGGAGCTGTCCTGATGTCAGGGTTCTGAGGGCTGAGATGATGGGCCTTCCTTTCCTGGGCAGCTGCACAGTCCCATCAGCCTGTGTATCCAGCCCTGCTGGGCCTGCTGAAGTGAGCAGGATTACAGCTTTCCCTGCCCATGTTCTGCCAGTTGTGCCTTCTGCATCTGCCTCTCCCCTCTCTTCCGGCCTAGGTTCAGACAGGAGCAGGCCACAGTCCAGGATGAACTGTTCCAGGTGGTGAAGCGGGAAAGAGAGGCAGCTGCCAGACACTTGACAGCGGCCCCACCTGTGGTGGAGGGTAGTGCTGACCAGGAGAAGCAGCAGTCAGCCTGGCTGGTGAGTGCACATCTTCCTGCCTGCTGGCTCTGTCGGCAGCCTGTCAGATTCCTCAGCTTCACCTCTGAGGAAAGGGCAACTTACGACCAGGAGCTCAGCTCTTCCTCCCAGCCTGGTTCTGTCACTGATTCACTTTGCTACTGTACTGGCCACATCATCTGAGTCTCATTCATCTCTGAAACTTCACAGGTGCCAGGATACGGTACTGTGTGTGCCAGGAGGATGTGAAGAGGGAGGGCCAGGGGCTGGAACACTCAGTGTAAAGCATGGAGTTCATCACTTTTAGAGTCAGGCCACCTGGGTGCAAACTAGCTCAGGCACATTGTTGGAATCTGGCTTGAGGATCATGATGTTCTCACACAGCATTGCCTGGGGGATCAGAGAAAATATATTTCCAGGATTTAGAATGTGCCTGGCAAATTATGAAAGTGTGCTATTACTGCTGCTGTGATTAATACATGCCATTGACTGGAGGCCATTACTCAGGATTCTTTCCGCTGAAGGGCCGTTATTCCTAACATAAGATGTCCAGATACAGTCCTGGTGCTGACATCAGCATCTGCAAGGACCAGGGGCCCGCCTTCTCTGCTATGCCCAGTGTGTCATCTCTACTCAGGCTAACTGTCCCTGCAGTTCAGTGGTGGCTGTGGGGACCTCACAGTCTCATGCCAGCAGGACCGCAGCAGGTGTAGAAAAGGAAATGCTACGGGGCCAGGCAGATGGCTCAGTGGAATAAGTGCTTCCCTGGCAAGCATAAGGGCCTGAGTTCAGTCCCTGGTTCCACCAAAACAAAAAAACAAACAAACAAACAAACAAGATATCCCCTAAGAGGAAATGCTGTATCAGCCCACGTGTCTTTGCTTGCAGGGAGCCCTTAACCAGAACCCCTGGGAGAACTTCATGAGGTGTTCATGGTTGAGAAGTCCTTGGCACAGTGAGTAGGGAGGGCTCCACTTGCAGCATCCAGGGCCCTGTCTAGTGGCACTTTGAGGGCAACAGTCAGATGGAATTAGGACTGACAGAGTGGTGGAGGGAATGGCTGTTGGCTGCATCTCAGGACATGGGCTTTGGGACTGGAGCAGCTGTGCCTTACATGGGTGTGCAGCTCAGTGCCTATAGAATGGAGGAGAAGCCCCATGAGCTAACCACTTCAGGGAGAGGACAGGGTGCAGACCGCTGGTTCCTAATTTGGTGATTACACAGATGTTCACAATGCAGTGTGTATGTAAGACATACTGGCTTAACTGAGCCTCTAGGAAGTACAACTAAGCTCTTGACCCTTAGGAATTTTTTACTATAGCGAGGAAGATACATTTAAGCTAAGAACTTTTAAATAGCCAAATTGGTTACATACATTTTAAATGGATAAGGGGGTTTATGTTAGGTGCTGGTGGTCCATGGTGTTAGACGTTAGCCATACCCTTCACAGCTCAAGGAGGCAGCTGGTCTGTAATGGGACAGGACACGGGGAGAACAGCAGAGTTTGAAGCCAGATTGTAGGCATCCGATGCCTTGAGGAGTTAGCTCACAAAAATAGCCCACACTGATTGACTTGGAAAAGGTTCTTAAAGGTTGTAAGGATGGGAGTGACACCTCTAACTTGTACTTTTGGAACCCTGTGGATCCTGCAGGAGTCAGTGGAAGTAATGAGAAGCTGGAGCCAGGACGACTTGGCACTAGAGGTTTTTATAGTTTGTCTCTGAGGCAGGCAGCCTGACCCATCCATATGCAGGGGACCGTTTTCCTGGAGAGGAATGGTTAATCATTTTAGACAGAGCAGGAAAAGTCATCCAGGACAATCATTGAGAGATGGAAAAACCACAGCCTACAGGTGTGCTGATTCTTTTCTCACCTGGAGAGTGTTAATTAAGGGAAGGAGACTCACACCTTCCCTTTTTTCCATCTGCAAAGAAAAAGGTTGGGCTGATTGCCTGGACTGTCCTTGGGGGCAGAACTTCTCTCTTGCTGGTAAAATAGGGAGAAACTTAGATGATCCTTGGCACTGGTGTGGAGATTTTTATTTTTTGGGTTTTTAAAGTGAAGGGTGACTTTAGACTAAAGTATATCCACACTTGATTTCCCCTGATTGCAAGGTGGATAGTGCCCTTCTCTAAACCAGAGTTGCTAGGAACAATAAAGCAAATTACTTCCTTCAGTTTTGAAATACTTAACTTTTGTGATCAATCTATTTTTGACTGTTCTGCATCCATTTCTGCATTCAATTCATGTTCTTAGTTGTTTTGGGGAGCATTGCTGTTTCCTGTGGAGTGTAGCCTTGGTGGGACTGTATCACAGTACCAGCTTCCTGTGTGGAAAATGGATGTGGCTAACAGGTCCCACACTCAGTCAGGGAAACTCCTGCCTTAGGGACTTGGGGTTGTAAGTGAGTCCAGAGGAGGTTGGGAGACTGGGGCTGGAGTTCTTCACTGCAGCTCAAGTCTCTGTCAGTCCTGCATGCTGACACTGTCATGTACCCCAGGCTGCCTATGGATTCTATCTGAGCTGCCTGTCTTTCTGAGGGTTGTGTCACCTGCTGATCACTGACTATCCACTCTACTTTGCCAGTGTTGGTTGTTGTTTGGAGCCACGGCAGAAGCATGTCCTGCAGAAAGTGATGTAGTGGATGATTTATGGCAGGGGTAGGCAAGAGTAGAATGGAAGCCAGGTGCTGTCATGTAAGTTGACAGCGACTCCAGGCAGCCAGCTGAAATGCTGGTTGGATGCTGTTGCCATCACTTCTAAGGGAAGCAGTTCCCTTTGGATTGGGGTAGTATGGTTGGCAAGTGCTGTAGTGGAGATAATTCCAAAACTGTACTTTGGAAGACTTAAATAAGAGGAGAAAGATGAAGAGAAGAACCTGAACAAAGTATTTTCTCATCCAAGTCTTCCACATGCAAGGATTGAAGGCGGCAATGAGTTGGCTGCCTGCTGGGCTAGGCACTGAGGGCCTGGTAGTTGGAAGTGTTGGTCCCACCCTGGGGGTAGGGCAGCTCTGAGGCAGCAAGATGTGCATGCTGGCAGGATGAGCCTCCTTGGACTCAGTGTCCCTAAGCCACACCCGGAAGATCTGCTTTTGACTGGATTGAGTGCTATTTGACATTTAATGTGGTTTCCTGCCTTCTCTCTTTGCTTCTGACTTTTATAATATTGATTTTTTAATCCTCTTCTACATAAGTGAATGATTCAGTTCCTTATTGGAAAAAGTTAATAAAACTAATGACATGGAAAGGTAATAATTTTTATAACCTACTTCTGATGACAGTTGTTAACATTTCCCATCTAGCACAGCTGTATGAACTTTTCTGTGTGTATTTACCCATTTCCTATCCCTTGCAGACCCCTGTTCTGCTCTGGATGAAAGCTGTGGGTATCACTGGAGCCCTTGGGAGCTGTGTTTCCCTCTGAATTGGCAGAGAAGGTCTTGAGTCCAAATCAAACACTCTGCATAGAAATAAGAATAAAGTGGTTTGTTGACTTGAGTCTTCTTACAGGTAGAGCTTTATCCAATGGATAGAATAATAAAAGCCTGGCAGAGGCTTTAGTTTGGAGGCGAAAAAGATTTACCACCTTGCCT